AGGGAAATAATATCACTCTATTCTGCTTTGGTCAGATCTGACTTGCAGTACTGTGTTCTATCTCGTGCACCCTTCTGTAAGAATGATATTCACAATCTGGAATGTATCTACCAGGGGGTAAGCAAGAGAATAAAAGACCGGGAAATGAAACCTTATAAAAATGGTTGAGGAGCTGAATATATTTAGTCCAGAGAACAGAAGACTGGGGTGACATGGTCATCTTCAAGTATCTGAAGGTGTGCCACATAGAAAATGTAGCAGATTTTGTTGTTGTTGTTGGCCAACATTCTGAATCCTCAAACAATGGATTCAAATTAAAAGAAGGGAGATTCTGACTAAACATTAGAAAGAACTTCTGACAGTAAGAGCTGCTTTTCCATGCAACAGACTAACTCAAAAGGTAGTGGTTGGTGGCCATTAGAGATGGGTATGAACCTCAGTTCATAGGTTCACACTAGTTCATACGCATGATACCTCCCCTGCCTCCCAAGCCAATTACCTACTGACCAGTCAGAGCACACGCCTCTCCTCCTCCTCTTCAGCTCTTCAACAATTCCCTGGTAGGAGCATGTGTTGCCTGTCCTGCCTCCTTGTCTGAGTGGGTAATCAGTTAAGGAGGTGGGGCAGGGAAGCCTGTGCTCCTACTGGAGGCCGGATGAATGGTCAAAGAGGAGAGGAGCACACACCAGCTGATGAGTAGAGGATCCAGCCAGGGAGGCGGGCAAAGGGAATACGCAGCACCTGTGGTGCCACATGTATGAACTGACACGAACCTCCAAACTGAGGTTTGTGCCCATCTCTAGCGGCCATCTGTCAAAGATCATTTATCTGTAGATTCCTTCCTGCTTTGAATTACATGCATATTGGGTCCCTTCCACCTGTACACTTCTGTGCTTTGATGCTATGAACACCCACACCACTTGTCTGCTGGCTAGGGCTGATGGGATTTGCAGTCTGATAACATCTGAAGTGCCATAGGTTGTCCACCCCGGTGTAAGCAAAGGAGCTGAAAACCATGTTTTGAAGTCCTCAGCTAGGCCACCTGGTGTGTCTACAAAGAAATATTTGTCAAAGTTTTGGCACAAACCCAGGTCTGATCATAAAATGCATTCAATAGTCTGGGCGAAGCATCGAGGTAGACTCACAAGTCAGCAAGAAAACAATCCACACATAATGGTGGCTGTGAATCAGTTCTAAGAATCAGATCAATGTGCCATAAATCATGCTTGCTTAACTTACCTTGGCCTGTTTTCCAAGCAACTCAATCTCCCATTTTCACAAGACTTTATTCCTACTGCAGCATGACATACATCACAATGAAAATACACAACCCATTTTCCCCTACCCATTTCAGAACAAGATAGCGTTGAGGGCAGCATGACTGGCAGACATACAATGACATGTATACATACCCAATTTTACTGAATTATTATGATTATTATCTATGAACCAAGAAACTCTGCACCTGTTGAAATTCTGTTTGTCAAATACAGTAGGTTTACATACAATGGTGTCTCACTAGAAGGAAAAGCCACCCATCAGGCCCCATTGTCTTTAAAGGAAACTAAGTCAATGAGAGGAGGGAGAAAACCCTATCCATTTTCTGTCCCTAGGAAGAACCTATGTGGGTTTTTGTTTATGCTTTGTCTTGTCTTATCCTGCCTCACTCTTTCTCCTCTTATCCTTTCACATTTCGGCTTTGCTCCTCCTTGGCCTGAACGTGACCTGGATCCTTTCTCCCAAACTGCCTCCCTCTCTCGGTGATGGCAGTCCCCTCTTAGCAAAGTCTAGTAGCTCAGGGGAAATGGGGTGGTTTCCAGCCTCGGCACCCCCCAGTCAATACATCCCTGCCCGCCTGTTCACCAAAGGGTGAACTATCAGCCTCACAATTTGTGGGGTGAGGTTTGGGGTAGTGGGGAGAGAAACTCAATGTGAGTAAATAAACTAGCAGCCCAGGTTCGAAACCTGGCACAGAGCAAAGTAGTGAAAGGTAGGGCCATAATTCAGGGGGCAAAGTGTATTTTTCCATTTCTCACCTGAGCTGTGGAGAGAATGACTAGGGTGAGAAGAGTGTCTGCTTTTCTGCTTGAGTGTGTATATATGTACAGTATCTACCTTGCTTGCCTGCTTGGGTATGCACATCTGCATGAATGCCTCGTTTTGCCCCCAGCCCTGCTTACCAGAGGCCGGCAGTGTCTTGTGCCATTAACCACACTGGGCACCAACCGCCACTGCTACTGACTTCCCTCCCCCTCCCCTTTTAAAAAAAGTAGTTCATGAGCATCTTTCCAAGGAGCCTTCCGAGAGGCAGAGGCGCTCAGGCCACAGAAGAGAACGAAGGGGCGCCTTCTCCTCTGGAGCTTCCCTCCCAAGCCCTCTCCCTCTCGGACTCTCCCCACCCCCCTCGCCCCAGCCAGGCCCGGCCTCTCTGTCTCTCCACCCTCGGCTGCCTCTTGAGGGCCCATCTGTTGGGTTCCCGGGAGCCCCTCCCTCGCCTCGCCTCGCCTCTCCCTCCTTCCCTTCCCCTCACGCCAGCCCCTCCCTCCTTCCCTTTCGAATCTTCGCCGGCCGTCGCCTAGGAAACCAGCCGATACCGTGTAAATAGGCACCCTGCAAAAAGCAATGTAGCCGGGTAACAAAGAAGCAATAAAGGAGCCGAGCTACTCTCTCGAATGAGACTGGGCAGAAAGAAAAGAAGGGACGGGGGGAAAAAATCCCCAGACTGGCTCAGTTGGCTCTCTCTTTCTCCCTTTGATGCGGATACTGGACAAGAGATGCCTCCAGCCGCTTCTCCTAGACAGGACTCGCCGCAATTTAAGCCCACAGCCACCCGGCAAGGCGGATGGAAGGCGAAGCGAACGGGTTGTTTGCCTAGTGAAGAGAATCAACAGGCTCCAAAGTGCGTTTTACAGCCACCTGGATGGTAATGGATTTATTCAGATTAAGTTTCAATGGGGGAGTGCCACATGTGCACAAAAAAGGGCCGGTTTCCATCCTCTAGTGCCGCCGACTGCCCGCCCGATTTCCCTAAAGGGCGATAAGCAGCGTTTGTTGGCGTGATGTACCTCTATTCCCCTCCCCAAATCACAGCAGCTCTAAGGGAATATAACGTGGAGAGGGAATAACGCGTCGACCTGAAACTGTGTCTAAAACCATCATCGTCTCCATTGCTGCTGCTGCCGCCGCCGCCCCCTCCTTTTTCCAAAAAAGACACAATGATTAAAAAAAAAAATCCCAAAGACATCGACGTTGGCACCAATGGTTTTCCACCGCGCGAACCACATTCCCGTAGTCCAAGCTGGAGGAAGGAATTGTATTTGGAGGAATACAGCGGGAGAAGAGATGGAATGAGGAAGGAAGGGGTGGGGGGTGGAAGCCTGATATAAAAACCACATGCCTCGTGGAGGGTTTTGCCCGCAAGAAGCGAAATGTGCTTTGACCGAGTGCCATCTTGCTAAAAATACTAGGTTGTTGGCAACGCATGGGGGGTGGGGGTGGGGTGTTGTCCTAAAATGGGGGCAAATGCACAAATCTGGATTCATCACCCAGGGAAGCCTTTAGGAGAAGCAAGGATGCGGTGGTTGTGTCCTGAATCCTTCCACCCCGGTCTTTCCCGGAAAACATTCGTTCCAAAACCAACACCACATCGGGCTTTGGGGGTCGTCGTCCTGGGGAAAGAGAGCTGCAGTTCTTCCCCAACCGCGTCGTGTGAAGCACCAAGGCAGATCGATTGATCTCCACCACCACCATCACCCATCCCTGTTTTCCAGCATTCCCTATCACTCCATTGTACCCATTTAAGAGTGAAGCGGTGGGAAGAAAAATCAGCCCTCCATGAATCAGTCTGAAGCTGCAATCCTAGGCAGCGTTAGGCGTGTTTTAGCTCACTGGTTTCGGGAGGGGGGGGAGCCAAGAGCATGCTTCATCGGATCGGGGGCCACGCAGCTTGAGATAGGAAGCCCCCTCCCCCACTTCGCTCAAAATTCAGAAGCTTGGTATTTTCGTACAAGCCATCATGGCTCCGACGTGCACCACATGAGAACGAATTAGACTCAAGTTCTATTTGGCTGGAAGCGTTTTCAGTTACACGTGGAAGCTTTTTTTAAAAAAAAAACCCACAGAGATCGAGAGAGAGAGAGAAAAAACAGACATTCAGATTATTAATCTTTTAAAAACTCCTCTGCAGTCTCAGCAAACAGTTGCCTTTTTAAAGAAAAAAGAGAGAGAAATCAAAGCTAATCAAGCAGCGAAATTTAATTAGACCCGTAGGCTCCTCACAAAAATATTTTATTTCAAGCCAATATTGATGGGGGAAGGGAATTCTCCTTCCACAGCCATGGCAGCGGCAACAGCTGCTTTAAGCATTTTCCACATCTGGCCTACAGACCTAATAATTTTCAACTCGTGATCTCGTTTAGCGAAACTCGATCTACGTGGTTTAAATACCTTCCAAATTGGGACGATTGAACAATTGCAACCAATTAAAAGGGGGGGAAAAAGCAAGCAGCACCAGCCAGCCTTCCTTCCTATCTGTTGATTTTCTCTAAGCGCAGAAGGGGGAGGGGGATGGAAGAGGGTGGCAGCGGGGGCG